AAATATTTTGTAAGACGCAAACGAGAGCGAATCAACGGACACCTTGGCATATTCAAAAGAACTGCGATAGGCAGACTGCACAGCGTGCATCCCAATTAGGACGAATGCTTTTTACTCCTCACGGTGTTGGTGAATGTGTCCGGTTCAACGTCTTTCTAGTAATTGAAATCTGTCAACAGCGTTACGCACGCCACTTTCCGCAGTGCATGCCAGACTCCCAATTTATTGGAAAACTACCTATACTGGGATGTATGCATTAGTGTTGCGTGCAAAACGTCCCATCCACATCGAATTCGTTCATTGTTTGCAATCATACTGACCGCCTGCTCTACTTCATGTCCAACAGATTTATGTGAGGAATATAAATCGCACATGGCTGCGGATATCGTCCGTCGACTACACAACGAAAATTTCAAATGCGGATTGCACAGCTGGAATTTACAGCGAGGCGTTAATAGTGATTGGGGATATGTATGTAAGAACCGGAAATGTTCTCATCAAACCGGTCTTCTGCTGTTTCGTTAGATATGGATTTGCGTCGTGAGCAAAAAACGCTCGGGACCCTCTATCGAACACTGCAAGCTTTGCGTGGAAACAGCAGACCATTTGGATACATTACTGCTACTGCTTGCAGGAGACTTCAGGCAAACACTGCCTGTAATTCCTCCATCAGCAACAGCAGACGAAATAAGTGTCTGCCTGAAATACTCTTCTTTGCGGCGCCAAATCCAGACGGCAAAATTAACTACAAATATGCGTGTCCAGCTGCAAAACCACCGATCAGCTGAGGTATTCTCATAGTAATTGCTGGCAATTGGGAATGCAACGGTGCCCGCTGATCCGACTACAGGAAGGATTTCCCTACGTCTTAGCCTCGGCAATTTAGTGCCCTCAAAAGAGGAATTGGTTGAAAAGGTGTCTCCCACTATTCAGACCACTTTCAACAATCACAACTGATTGAGCGAACGAACGAGCTATACTTGCGGTCAAAAACAAACACGTGTACCATCTTAGCCATACTATTCAGTCTATGCTTCGACACGAGGCAGACACATACACGTCCGTCGACACTGTTGTGGAAGCAGACGAGGCAGGTTTGTAGAAGACGTACTGACCTTGTTGTTTTAATGTGTCCTTGCCATGACTTACCTGTGTTCCGAACGTGCCTTTTTAGTGACCGCCGTTGAAGAATGTGAGGGGGGCCAGTCGAGGGACCGCCCGTAAGGAAGAAGACGGCGAGAAGACGGAACAGGACTAATTACCTCAGCTGATATATTACTCTTAATAAATATTTTCCATCGTCAAACTATTCTACCTGCGTACGCTTGCACTTGCAGATGATGAACTCAATTCGCGCTAATTTTCAGGGTTCCCGCCGAGGAGACGCTCGACCGAGTAGAAGCACCAAGGAGGCTAGAGGGAGAAGAAGACAAGACCATACCCATGGGTGGCTCGGGTACTACAGGTTAATTATCCAACAGAGATTTTGAATTCACCTGAGCGACAACAACGCGTGGCCGAGCCCAACTAGTAGATGAATATAGACGAAAATGCTGACCTCAGGTGTTGAGATGGAAGAGGAAGAAAACGATCTCTGGACAAGAAGGTTTAATAACTTGACGTTTCGTACTCGTGCTCGAGCACATCATCGGCGATAGACAAAAGAAGAAATACAAGGTTAAAATAGGCCATTCGCGCTCGCATCTGATAGGCACATCCTGCTCTCTTCTAATTAATCCTCCTCTCGCGCACAAATGGTGCCTGACGGATTCGTATGGCGCTGGCGTAAGCTAGGACTAATTGACTCCAGGATGCTTGTTACACGCCGTTGTGGTGAATCGACTGCTATTACATTGGAGAACACCTTAATATCATTGGGACGAAAGAAACGTGCTAACAGGGATGCTGATTTATCAGTAAAGTTCATGGCCCTGCAGACCGCACAATCCCGGGAACCTGAACAAACGTTAGTACACAACCTCTCGTTGAAAAATCTTACTGTGGCCCAAACAAAAGTTCTACAACGTGGATCTGGTTTTAACACAACTGACGCCGACCCGGTCACATTCATTGCTTCTTTCGAATCTGTGCTACGTCAAACCGGCGCCACAGACGAGGCGAAAGACCTCCTCCGACATCGAGTCTCTTCACTTCTCATGTCACACCGAAAAACCCATTCGCTGCTAAGAGATGAACAAAAGGTCCTAAGGGAGTTGAAAGCGGACACCGAGATAGTTATTCTGCCTGCTGACAAAGGTCGGTCAACCGTTATCCTTGACAAGGTGGATTACCGAAAAAAAGCGCTCATGCTCCTCAACCACCGGGAGTCCTACATGGTCAGCGACGCCACCAGTCTAAAGTCCCTACTGCTGAGGGTTAACAGGGTTCTGTCTCGACTAAAGAAGGAAAAAGTCATCACCGTCAAAGAATGGTATATGGCAAAGCCCACAGAAACACCGATGGCGAGATTCTACGGTCTTCCAAAGGTACACAAGCCAGATGTTCCCCTCCGACCAATCGTTTCACTCCGAGGCACACCTACGTACGGGCTCGCAAATTGGCTGTTTCAGAAGCTAAGGTTCATAAACGCGGGCTCAGAAACAACAGTAAACTCAGCAGAGCAATTCCTCGACAAAATAAGGGCGGTCACGATCGAACCGAATGAGAGGATGGTGTCATTTGACGTCAGTATCAGTATATTTCAGGGAAAGTAGGTGTGTACCTTTGAAATCCCTATTGGTTACATGCAGAGGATATATATGGAGGAAATGGAAAGGAAGTAACATGAAAGAAATGCGAGGGGAATAGCAAAAACTGTACAGATGAACACAGAATGTCATGCTTTAACAGAGTTTAGAGGCACATTAACTTGCTTTGTTGGTCAAAATACAGCGGACAGTTGAGGCACACTTAAGACACGGGGAAAGAAGTAAAATTGTTTAGTCTACAGGCATCGTGGTGAATGCGAACAGCAGTGTGCGACGTGGCCCAAGCTTAATAAATAACATAAACATTAATTACTTAAATGTTGGTAGTAGCATCGTTATAACACTAAATTGTCCGCGTTGGCTGTCAAGGTGGCCGCAGTCCGGCGTTATTGTGGTGCGCGCTACAATGCTGATCTAGTCTCCATTTAAAAGTATCTACCGAGCCTGACATAACAACATCCCCAGGCAAGGCATTCCAAGCTGCAACCACTCTGTTGGAGAAGAAGAACTTTCGGGTGTCTAGCCGGACACCAGCCACACGCAGTTTGAGTGGATGGCCTCTCAGGTTAGTCGTAGTCGCCAACTCGAAGAAGTCTCCAAACGCGAGGCAGCAGCCCTGATTGCGCACGATGCGGAAGGCTTGTATCAGGTCCCCACGTAGCTGTCTGTAATTCAAAGGAAAGAGGTCAAGATTAGCTAATCGCGTTTAGTAGGGTAGTGACCACTGCCCAGATACAAGTTTCGTTGCTCGCCGTTGAACTTTTTCGAGTATGCCCAAGTCTTTCGCGGTCCAAGGTCGCCATGCTTGGATAGCAAACTCCAGATGCGGTCGCACAAAAGTTTGAAAGACCTTGGCGAAGCAGTCTTCATCAAAGGAGGAGAACGCCCGTTTGACAAGGTATAGCATGGACATCGCCGACTTGGCCACCTTTGAACATTGCAGCGAAGGCTTAAGCGAGGTTGTGATCCATACACCCAAGTCCTTCTGGGCGTCGACTTCTTGCAGTGGTTTGCCAGTCAGACGGTAGACCGTGTGGTTAGTAGAACTGGTTCTGCCGACGCGTAGGAAAGTACACTTGTTTACGTTGAACGGTGGAAGCCAGTCTTTCGACCATTGCTCGAGGTGGTCCAGACTTGTCTGCAGTCGCGCCTCGTCAACTTCGCTTCGTATGGTACTCCAAATCTTTATGTCATCGGCAAACATTGCGACATCGCAATTCAGTTCGTTTGCGCAGTCATTGACGTATACGAGGAACAGCGTGGGGCCAAGAACAGAGCCTTGGGGAACACCACTCTTAACGGCAACCTCGGCAGATTGTTGGTCACCGACGTGGACGGCTTGAGAGCGGCCGATTAAAAAGCTCCGAATCCACATCAGAAGCTTACCCCGCACTCCTGCACGGCTAAGTTTGTATAGAAGGCGGTGGTGAGGCACACTATCGAAGGCCTTTTTAAAGTCGATATAGATGGCATGCACCATATCTCCTCTATCAACAGCCCTAGTCCAGTGTTCCAGACAGTAGAGCAGGTTTGTCACACAGGATCTGCCTTTTCGGAATCCATGCTGAGAATCGGAAAGCAAATGGTTTTGTTCAAGGAACTGCATTAGTTGTTGCTTTATTATCTTCTCCATAATCTTACAGCAAATGGAGGTGAGGCTGACCGGTCTGTAATTGTTCGCAGAGACCCGACTTCCGCCCTTGTACAGCGGCGTAATCCACGCCGACTTCCAGTCGGGTGGCAGATATCCGGTCTGGAAGGATGTATGGAAAAGCATGGAGAGTGGCTTAGACAACTCACCGGCGAGTTCCTTCAAAATCTTCGCCGGAATCTCATCGGGACCTGGTGATTTGGATTCTTTTAGCCTCAGCAACTCCGTCAGAACCATACCCTCAGTGAACTGGACGGTCTCTATAATTGGGGTGTCTTCGAAGGATTGAAGGGCCGAAGGGTTGAATCCTGTTTCGCTACTAAAAACAGACCGAAAAAATTCTGAAAGGTGATCAGCTTTCGCCCTGTCGTCAGTGAGATGTTCGCCTTCAGCAGTCCTTATCAGGGGTATTGGGTCCTTGTTCCGCGTGCACTGCCTAATGAAACCGTAGAAAAATTTAGGGTTCTCCGCGGCACGGTTAAGCAGATCCCGTTCGAATTTCTTTCTAGTTTTGAGGATAAGACCCTTGACTCTTCACGTCCATACCACAGGCCCTTGCGGTCAAGACGCTCAGTGACCTGCTTCGTCAGAATTACGACGAGGGCGATGGACAGCCAACAGCTCAGGATCTCATAGAACTCATGGGGCACTGCCTCAAGACATTTTTTACCTTTGAGGGGATCACCTATGAGCAAATTAAGGGCACTCCGATGGGTTCACCAATCTCCGGACTCATTGCCGAGGCCGTTCTGCAAAAACTCGAGAAACGACTGTTCGGGGAATACAAACCCAAGTTTTGGGCGCGCTACGTTGATGATACCTTCGTAATCATCGATCAGGATAAAATTAGCTACTATGAAGAACTATTGAACTCAATCATCCCCGACCTACAGTTCACGATGGAAGAAGAAGAAGTGGAGAGCAAACTTTCATTTTTGGATGTTCTCATCTGCCGCCAACCAGACGGTAAACTGGCGACGTCAGTCTACAGAAAACCGACGAACACGCTGCAAATGCTCAGTTACAACAGCAACCACCCACTGCAACACAAACGAAGCTGTGTACGCAAACTATACCGACGGGTGGAAGCTCATTGCAGCACTCCGGTCGCCAAACTGGACGAGATGAAGCTTCTGCAAGAACTCTTCAGAGCCAACGGCTATCCGCGAACATTCGTTGAACGGAGCCGAAAGCAACCAAGGAAGCGGAATGAAGAACCTATTCAGCCAAAATCGTGGCGGAGCATTCCATACATGCAAGGGGTCTCCGAAGCCGTAGCCAGATCCCTCGCGCCGCTCAGAATAGGCGTTGCCCACAGGCCCGACTCAACAATCCGCCGGCAAGTGATGCGGCCAAAAGATCCGATCCCTAAACAGGAGATGTCGGCTGTTGTCTACCGACTTCAGTGCAGCTGCGGAATGTGTAACTACGTTGGGGAAACCGGCCGACGGCTGCAAACGCGCATGCACGAGCATAAGTTGGCCGTGCGAAGGTTGGACCCAAAGTCGGAGGTAGCAACCCATGCCGCCCAAAGGGGACACGTCTTCAACTTTGACGCCGTTGAAATTGTGGGCCGAGGAGATGATCATACGGCAAGGCAGGTGCAAGAAGCCTGGATGTCTACCGACTGTTCTGTCAACCGCCACATCAATTTACCTCCCCCTTATCTGGTTTTACGGACATTCTTGACGGGGGACAGTCACGGCGCGGGACAATCGGGGCCGCCAATTATCACCGCGGCCGACGAAGATGGGCGGGATTCAGGTCACGGTGACATGCGGGTCGGATGCAGCCACACAGGCGGCACTGATGGGCCAGGCTTTGAACAAAGTGCGCCATAAAAGGAAAGCTGTGTGCACGACTGCTTAGTCTCTGAAGATGGGTAGAAGAAACGACTACCCGAAACGTCAGATCTCAAATACACCTCTCCCGGTGAACGCCTCCTCTTCTTTTAATTGACTTGTGCTAACGTGTCTGCCCTACTGGCGCGTATGTGAGGGCATTAGTAGGAGTCAGAGAAAACAGCAACGGACGCCTGCCACTGGTCAGACGTGAAAGTGTCCGCAGAAAGTCACTGCAAAGGTGACTCCGATTGTCATGCACCTCGACCTATTCACCAGCGGACCTGGAGTGGCCGTTGCATAACCTTACATTGACGACTATACCTTTCCGCACATACACTACCGGCAATCACCATGCCCGAAGATTCAGCATAAGCAATTCCAACTGGTCTTGGTAGTGCAAGCACCACTATGGTGCCAACAAGTACCCATAAATAGTAAACCGACGGTCCCCGCCGAACGCATCGCACCTTATCGACACCCAGCATCTCACCGCCCCGCCCCCCACGACGCCGTGCCCAACACGACGTTGACATCCCGTCAAAAGTTCTTAACCGGTGGGCTAAACCAGACGAGTGTGTTCAGTGCGCGTTTGTGCCCTCACAACCGGTAGGCCCTGAACTGATTCCAAAACTCCTTCCCCATTAGCAAACAAAACGCCCTGCAGAGAGAGCAACATGCAATCCCGTAGGCAACCCAAGCTGACTCGAGTGGTCTTCTCACTGAACAGTCATGAATCAGTGGAATTTGGCGATAGCCTGCGATGGGTAGCTAACCCTAATTAGTGGTTACACTGTCAACCTCATCGCTGAGAGAGGAGAAAAGCCTCTGTTGTCGTGTCTGCACTGCTAACGGACGTTAGGAGTGCGCATCGGACTCGTTGGACATCTGCAGACCACGTGCAGTGTCAATACGACTAATCCGCCTCTCGTCTTCCAAAATACCACTATCGCCACCACTGGCGACGCCAATGAAGACGTTCCCACTGACTTAAAAAAAACATTACCACCACTGCTCTTTCCACAGAACGTGTGGACTTAATTCCAACCTGTCTGCATTGGGGCCGCACTTTCTCATCACGCGTAGACCTGGTCAGTTATTTTGCGAATCCATCGCGCTGAGACCGACAAACCAATGCCAGGAACCCCAGTATAGACCTGTCCCATCCAATTTATCTGCCCACACTATCCGAGGACATTGGGCCATCGTGTGAGCTTATTCGGCAATATGCGCCTACACACAAGTTTACATAAAACTGCTCTCCAGATCACATCATCACACCTTTCACTACTTGACTACACACATACCTCTAAGCCACATATTAAACCCCTCCACACCACGTGTCACACCATACCTCATTCCACCGGCTAACGCGCGATCAACTTCGTCGTGGCTGATATGGCCGACTCAAGGTTACGTGTCAGGACATGCATATCTCACTTAAGTAAGGAGCATGTTCTTTGATTTATCTTGAGACATGAAGTGGTGATCAGATCGCATGTAACATACACAGAGGGGCTGTCCAGTTCTGTCAGCCTATCTTGCTATTTTCATCACCAGCTGGTCGACAGACTCAGACAGCTGGCTGATGCATGGAAGAAAGAAAAAGAGAGAGAGAGAGAGAGAGAGAGAGAGAGAGAGAAAGAGAGAGAGAGAGAGAGAATGACACCGTAGAATCCATCCCATGACATCTCAGCACCGTCCTCACCATAATAAACCTGTCGCGATTGAATCCATCATGGCGCGCTGAAAATCGTGGCTTGGAATGTTGCCAACTGACAACATAACTCAATCCTCATCGTCAGCACCGTGTGTAGATGCGCTATCTCATGAAATGTCAACTGGCTGAAGGACTGAGAGTCAGGTTCAATGGCTCCATGTCTTCCACAGAACTTTCCCTGTCGTGAGACCTGAGCCGTCCTCATGGAAGCCTGATAGCTGTTGTTGTGGCCAGGCCGTACGCGGAACGCGCAGACCGGCCATCTAGCTTTGCCATCCACTGCGCTCAAACTTGTCTCTGGTCGCCTTGACATTGTTGTCGTCGGTCTTGGAGGGCGAGGAAGAGAATGTGCTAGATGCTATGCAGGTCTGTCTCACTGTAAATTAATTCATTCACAAGTCACCAGTGTTGCGCCCCACTCCGTGGGGCTCACTGTGGAAATCGTCGAAGACCAGTGAAGGCTTCGCCTTGGCGGCTACCTCGTCAGCCGTCGGGAACAGCGGGTAAGAAATATCTTTGCGGCGTCCTACGCCCAGTAACGGAGTTCGGCTGAAGCCTTCCAACCATGAGTGCTCAGTCCTGTCAGAGAGAAAAGGACCACTCTGACAGATGTAAGAATCTTATTCAGATAAGACAGTAAAATACGCGGTGTATATGGGGCGCCTAGTATTCAATCAAAATCGAAACGGCCTACAACCCTGCTCAAATTCTGAAGGGTAAATAACGACTAAGAAAGTTGGTAGGGGTTCAAGGCAACCGATCTTCGGACACACGAAAGATTACAGAGGCTGGTACCTAAAGCTTTATACTCTGCAGCCTTCGCCTAAACAGAAGAGGTAGAACTCCTGACTCGCGTTCTCAGGAAATCAAAACTTCGGCGCGAACTCCCGTTTCACTTCTACCATGGCAGCCGGTGACCCCAATCGCAGACATTACCATTTACAACCGTGCTCGGCCTGGCGACAGTCGACGGCCGACGAATATACACAAAGCTGGGGTCGCACGCTAGTAACGCCTCCATCGGTTACATGTAGTCCCAGCGTCAGCTACAATCTGCGAGATAGATGCAATTCTACCCGCAACTGCAGCATCTAACTACCAAACTTTTGGCGTGACCAACTGATCTACACCGGGGACTGGGTCAGGTAACCTTAAATAAACACCTACATATTTGCTTCGGTCTTGGTTATTTGTATCAAAACAATGAAGGATTCCTGAACTTCGTAAACCAAGCGGCAGCTTGCCAATACGGTAGGCTCCCAACATGGCTGTAAGCACCCGATCCGACCATTTTTACGACTTCGTGGCCAGTCAGTGCAACTGCTTCCCGGCCAGCTCAAGCCACAGCGCTGGCGTGCACGAAAATCAATGCGTAGCACTGAAACCACAAACCTATGTGGTTCAGACCGCGTTCTCATGGGCACACGCCAGAGCGTTTGTCTCTTACACTACCCTAACCAGATACAGAGGTTAAATTGTGACAATTCGAAAAAACCGAATAATCAACACAGAAATTCCGTTCCCCTTGTAGCACTGACCGAAAAGCCAACAATCAATGGTCAACTTCGAATTCCTGCCCGTGAGAAAACTGGAGGTACTTCCGACCTAACCCGAAGCCCCGATGTGACTGGAATCTCTGACGGACACTACAATTGTCAGTCCACACGGCCCGAGACCGATCCCGCTAACTCTGCAACATAAGTCTCAAATGGCGACTTCTGTGAATTAAGACTCAGGTCTCGATGGTGCTCGAAAACCCGACTTTGCTGCAAGTCTGTGGTAGCCCCCATGCATCGAGATGTTCAACAGATTCGCAGAGATGGAGCACCAGCCCAGGAGTTTTTTGTGCACTCGTAGCTCTGATATCCAAACATCTCCAGTGCCCCTCCTCTTCAGAAGAAGGCTCCCATTCTTCCTCAATTTATTCAACATCGCATAAGTCGTTGTCAACCCAAATTAGCTGGACAACCAACAATTCAAATCGTACCTAACGACGGGGGGGCCCTCACCTCTGTATCAGTCTTTCAGAAAATAGACTCAACACAGAACTATCATCGAGACTGGTGCAGGCCTCCCATCGGTACTTTCATACGGTTCCAAATTGCTCAAGATGCGAGGACGATACCCAAATGTGGGCTGCTCGAAGACTGATGTGGATGTGCTGACCGGACGTCCGTCACGGGGCATCTCGGAACCTCATCAACCCTTTGCTCTGCTGACCTCGGTGCAAGACTCAATCTGCTTAATCACGAGTTTCTGTAACAGACTTCGAGAAAAACTACTGTTTCACCACTGCCTGAATTGTTTTCCCGCGACAGTTCGACAAGAAAGCATCTCGGATGGCCTGAGATATCCTCCTGATGCTGTCGCAACCAGTGCGTACTGTCTCACCTGGAACAAGGTCGGTGCACTTCACTCGGCAGATGCTTCCCAAACAACGGCGGTCAAATGCTCCCAGTTCCCACTCATCTCCCATGTGCAAATCCCAGCATCCACAACCATAGAGAACCACCCGGATGGATGCAGGACACACGTGGAAAATAGTGTCGGTGGGGACGTCGCGTCAGTCCACAGGCGCCTTACAGAGCTCCAGAAACCCGCACCGATACGGCAGGCAATGTCGTCCTTACTCTGTCCTTTGAACAGAAACCTCGTCTCGGGTATTTCAAAGTGACTTCTTTCCAAAATGACACCGACTAATTCCGACGGGTGCCTTACCCTGGCCAGGGACGCAGCTCGACAAAATTCGGCATCCCTAGCGTTTGTGGATAAACCGACCGAAGAAGCGACCGAATTCAACCACGACCACCAGGCTGCCAAGGCGATATCGCCAGAGTAGACAAGACCGGTCAACTGACGTCCCGGTGCGAACCCAACACAGCCAAGACCGTGTAAGCCCCTCCCGGTAATGTACCCAATGACCCAGTTGGACAGGACGGACAACAGAAGATATCCTCACCGAACGCCACATCAGATATCGACCAGCTGATTGAGATTATTATGGATCAGAACATGCGCAGTGTTCGCACGGTGACAGGCCTCGCCCATGGCCATGATTTCTCCCGGCATACCATCTGATCCCATTATTCGCCACGGGTACTCACGATGGTTGTTGTCAAACGCAGCGACAATATCAATAAGACGGACGGCCGCCGGTTGTTGTCGGCCATGGCGACACACCAGACTGCACCTCAGTATGAATATCTGGTCCACGCCCAACTCGGAATTCGACTTGGATGGACCTCGTCTGAAAATCACAGACAACCTGGGACCACCTGAG